TGGAATAGGTGCCGGGGGATGTGCTTTAATCCTCTCGCAGTTGCTGTCCAATTCACCTGTAGCTTTGGGCTGAGCAGTAAGAGGAGAGTGAGTGGTGCTAGTGAGTGGACACCGTCCCTGCTCCGTGTGGTCAGCATCCAGCCGTGACTCTGGAAAGGTGTTTTTTTTTCCATCTTTCTACCGTCTCAAAACAAGTTGAGCATCTTATTTGGGAGCATGTGGTATACAAGGAAATATGTTATATTGTGACGTATCTCTATACTTGGTTAAGGATCTTTTGGCATTTTGCCATGGTTTTTATTTCAAATGAGAAAACTTTATGATATTTCACATTTCAGGGATAGAAACCAAAGCGTTCCACTCTGAGTGATGTCGTTTATATAATCTGCTTAGATATAACATGCCGTATATCTCTTCACTGCTAGGATGTTAGATTTAATGTGTCATTGTAACAGACGACCTGAGGCAAGTTACTGGTCATCAAGGCTTAAAAATCATCCTTCAGACCCAGGAAATGTTGGAGTTTCCATTTGGGAACTTCTGCTATAAAAGTGTGGGGTCTACAGCATGACCTTGAAAGTTCAGGATTGTTGCAGTGAATCTGATCTGTTCACATACTAATTGTAATGTATGATTTACCAGCCAGCATTTTTCTCTCTGGCTATGGTGCGGTAGTTCAAGGATTATTTTCCTTTTTTCTATATTCACAGAGAGACAACTGTAAATCAGACCCCTTTTATCTCATAACAGTTATTTCAACATGTTTAGGGTTGATATAAAACTTACTGTAGTCCCTTCTTCAGTTTGACATGGCGTGGAGCATCCCATCTTGCCCCTCTGTTTCTCTGGTGTGCAAGCTTGGGGATTTTTTTCCTCTCAAATGCTTAATTTTGCAAATTGAGCCTGAGTATTTCGGTGGGATTTGAGCACCAAACACCAGCTTTATGATAAGTAAGACAAAAATGTAATGCATTTCCTATTTTAATATCCCCCTCACCTTTTGTTTGGTAGCTGTTCCCACGGAGTCCCTCTTCCATTTCATAGCACCTAACTAAAGAAACTCTGCAAAGTGGTAGGGCATCACAGAGCAAAGTCCAGACCTGCTCAGGTAGGTGGCATCTTCATGTCCTCTCAGGACCAAGGTCATGGGTGTAATCTATAAATTACTACTTGCATTTCTTTAGTACTTAGTGGGTGTACAAAACAAGGGTGTGTTACACATTAGGAAGTATAATATGTTACTGCTTACACCCATTTATTGGTCAACTTTTACCATCTTTGAATTTGGTCCTGAGATCATCGTGGGAGATGTGTCCCTTTTGTGCTAAAGCCAGATTCCGATTTCATCTGTACTGCCTGTGGCGCACAGTTTTTCGCCTCCTGAGGAATGAAATGGTTTAAGCTATCTATAGTCTTTAGGCTTACTCTAAAGGGGCATCAGAGTGACCTGTGATATACAGTAGGTCAGATTTGGATGGTCTAATGGTACCTCCTGGTTTTGAACTTGGTGATGGTGGGGTTCAGTCTGGTATGCTGTGAGGTCCCATGTACTGAGACACATGTGAAAGGGATAGGGAGAGGGACTGATCCATAAAAAGACTCCCATGAATGTCACTGTGCTCTGATCGTGCCCAAGATCCAAATGTCTCATTGCCTGCGGTACTAGAATTGGCAGTGCGGGAGGAGATGGGTGGAGTAGGAAGTACAATAGAGAGAAAAATAGATTGACATATGAACGGGGTTGTTGGTTGTATCCATGTTGGACTAAGGACACAGACAGACAAGGTTCTTTGGGTACATGTGATATCTTTTATCAGACCACCTGAATAGTTGGAAAAAAATGTTCTTTGCAAGCTTTTGGGCAAAAACACCCTTCTTCAGGCATTGGGAGAGTTTGCTGGTGAATTGTGTGCTCTCCTGGGTAGAATAGAAGCCAAACCTATTCTAGTCTACCCAGGAGAGCACACAAACACCAGCAGACTCTCTCGCTGCCTGAAGAAGGGCGTTTGTGCCCCAAAGTTTGCAAAGAACAATTTTTCCAACTATTTTGTTGGTCCAATAAAAGATATCACGTCCACCCAAAGAACCTTGTCTGTCGACGTATGAACAGGTTACTCCTACCTCACAAGCTTAAATCTTTTGGATGAGACGTAAGTCACAACAGTCGCTGGCCAGTCAAGATCCCACAGTCGTTTTCATGAATAAGGGTATTCATTATGATGTCCTTGCCAAATTCCAGCACTGCTCATGATATTCATTTACTAAAGTTGGCTCGTGATTTCACGTTGGATTCGGCATTCTTCTTTGTTTCAGGTCTAGACCATTGTGCGGTTCTGTATTTCATGCCTAAGCAATTGGTGTGCTTTGCCTTCCAGTCCATTAGTGGCAGATGAGAGACATTGGGTGCATCTACGCAAGCAATCAAAGCGATGAAATAAATTCCATTGTAGTTTGTGTCGGAGTCAGCCGCTCTCAGATGCATGTTTTACAAGGGTGCTCAGGACTTCAGCAGTTAGAGCCAGGGCAGAGCAGCCCTAGGCTGGCAGCAGGCTCTTGGGGTGGGGGTGGGGGGGTCAGCTGAGTGGTGGCATTAGGCAGCGGAGGGGCTAGCTGGCAGGCAGCCCCCACACTTTAGCACCCTTGTGCCCCAGGCAGCCCCTGTCACAGTCTGTGTGTGTGTTTGATCACATGTAAGTACTTCACCATAAAATAGTACTGCTCCCTTAGGGTGGAGTTAATTCTTCTGCATGTAGACTGCATGTGTAGACTGTGATGCTTTGCTGCGGAGCTAATTGCAGTAAAAGTTCTGTTAACTGGCATCTTACCAGCTGGCATGCTCAATTAGCTGGCATGCTGGCTTGTAAGATAAAATGAAACTGGAAGTGCCCACCGTAGCCCGGGGCAAAGCAGCCAGCGCTGCCAAGCCCCCATGGCCCGGGGGCACAACAGGCTGTGCAGGGCCCACCTCCCTGTCCCACGGGGCCTGCAGGCTCACAGGAGGGGCAGCGATGCGGTAGGAGAAGCGTTGGCCTGGGCCGCTCAATTAACTGGCATATTTTGTTATCCGGCATCCCCCGTTCCTGAGGGATGCCGGATAACAGATCTTTTACTGTAGTCTACTCCGCAGTAAGGCGCACATGTAGATGTACCCATTGTCTCTCTCACTGGGTTAGGATGAAAGCACCATCATCCCTTCTGGTTGAAACCGGCTACATGCATTTATGCTTAAATGATACCTTATGGTCTCTTTCTCTTTCATCAGTTGCCGTACAGTGTTAAGTCACTGAAACATAAGGACTTAATGGAAGTAATCTTACTATGGCTTAAGATCACCCAACTCTTTCTGGGATTCTTCAGTCAGTGAAACAACATGCCCAGGAAATGCTTACTTTCATGAGTTTCCTATCTTATATCTTTGTGTTTGCTTACCAAGAGCTGTCCAGTTGGCTTATTCAAGCCAGATCTGGAATAGCATTATCTAAAGTTCACACTGAATGTCCGGCAGACTTTCTTTTTAAAAGCCCTTGTAGACATGACTCATTGATCTTTCTTTCTTTTTTTTTTCTCCCTTCCCAGAAGTACACAGCCATTGGGGAGCTAGGAAAAGCTACCGACACATTAGACGCCACAGGAAAAGTAACAGAAGAAAAGCCTTATGGTAACAGTAAATTAATCATCTCTGCTCTAATCTAAGTGCAATAAGTGGTCTCTGTCTGAGTAAAACGAAGAACAGATTTTGGACTTCAGAAATCAAATTTCATTTCAAATCAAAGCACAGATTTATTTCAGCATTAACTTCAGTTTCTGTAATCTCAGGAAACTGGGCTCAGCACAATTGTTGATTTTCATTTTTTAAAGAAATCGGCATCAAAGGAGGAAGGAAAGAAATAGAGTTAGGCCTGGCCATATTTTTTCCCGTTTGACACGTTCTTTTGTTGTCAGTCAGGTTCTCCCTTTTCATTGCACAGTCCTGCGAGGGACGTCTCCTAATGACGTCTTTCCAGACTGAAAGTGAAGGAACATGTCAGCTTCCCCTCCCAAAAGTCCTTTTCAGTAGAAACATCTTGATTTTTTCAGTGGTACAGAGGACTTTTCATACACTTACTTGTAGACTCCCTCTTTTTTCCCCCCTGAGATGCCACTTTACAATGCACGAAAATGTATTTCTCTGATACTGAGAGCCTTGAACTAACTAGCAGCTATGTCAGTTCATGGTTCCAGAGTTGGTTAAATGATAGCTTAAAGAAACCACTTCATCTCCTGGCAGTATTGCGGGACTGATGGAGGACATACCTGAATGTTTTTGCCATTAATTCTTTCGTAACACAGAAAATAAAGCTCTAGGTAAGTGGTCTCTCAGTAACTCCTACAGGCCTGCTTTGTTTATGATGCCAAATAACAGGTAAGAGCAACATATTACCCTTCACTATCACGTGATGGAAGAGGTATACTTGTGTTCCCCTCCCCTTTTTCTTACTGCAAATGCAAGGAGATAGGCTGCAAGTTGCCGCAGTTGGAATGAACCCCTCTTCCAGTTTGAATTGTACTCACAGTGTTGGATACCAGTATCTTTTTGACTCACTCGTGTTGCAGGAAGATCTTGCTAATGTCGTTTTTATTTCAATACTGAGATGTTACCAAAAATCCAAGACCAGTCAGGTTTTAGAGAGACAAAACTACAGCCTGTCTGTGATCAGGATCTCTTTTGCAAACTTAGACACAGAATTAAGATACAGTTTCCCTTAATGATTCCCTCTTCTAAATGCCATATTAAGATATAATTACATTCCCCAATGATTGTCCATTCCCTCTTAGCAGGTAGGGACTGCCACCTAAGTCAGATAAAGAGGCAAGGGACAGTTCTGTAGGTCACACTTTACCGTTTACATGCCAAAGCAAAAGAAAAACCTCTTGTCTTAATGCCTACCTAGCTACCTGCCACAGCACAGTATAGATTCTCATTTATACCAGCTGTGGAAACACAGGAGGTAGAGGAAGGTGACCTGTGGACTGGCAGCAGGTCATCCTGAATCTGCTGAAATTTCCCAAATCCCCTTAGTGTATATATATGCCTTATTTTAATAAATGTTTTAATTTTAGTAAATGTTCTCAGATTGGTTTTATTTAAATATCTTTGTTTCACTGAGACTTTGGGAGCTAGACTGAACCAGTTTTTCTGTGGACTTGAAAGATCGGAAGATGCCAATTAGCTGGGATCTATGTCCTTGTGAACGTTACAATCCCGGAAGGGAGGATTTCTTTCTTTCCCTCACCCTCGGGGAATGCTACTTGCCATAGCCAGCTTCTTTTACTTTGCTGCCAAGTTAGTTGTAACATCTGCAAAGGTTCACTCTGAAACAGACTTTGAGACCTTCTGCTTTAGCCACACTTCTGCAGTTCAGCGTAAGTCCCTTGAAAATGGCCAAAGCTCACAACGGATGTTTTTTATGATGGGCTTTTACTTTTCTTCTATGCTCCTGGATTCACATCCGCAGAGCACCTTTAACTCTACCCATTCATTTCTTTCCCATGTATAACATACATTTACTACATACAATTCCGTTCTAATCAAAAGGCACAACAGCCAGCTGTGACTCGCCTGTTCCCCAGACTGGGGATCCATGGTCTGGTGAAGGCATGGGGAGCGGGGGAGAGGAGGTGGCCGCAGGCTGAACGCCTGTACTGCTCCATCTCCCAGGAGGAGTTTTACCAACAGAAATTTCTGAGAAATTTGCACCACTATAAATGAGTGCCTGTTCATACCCTCTGTTAGGCTGACCCTATTCACTGCAGAACGTGCACTAATTCATAATGAAATCAGAGCAAAAGTTTTTAAAACTTGATTCCCATTTCAGAACAAATGCATCTCACAATGCTTTCACTTTGCTTAGGGTTTCATTTCTTTACTGTGTGACAGACTTACCCAACTGAGCTCCAACACGTCCTGGGGCTAATCCTTACTTCCTATTGGTGGAGCCAATCCACCAATCAGGAACAAGCTGAGGAACGTGGGTGCCGCCCCTTTCCCGAAGGGAGGGGGAGAGGAGCTTCCCGACCTGATTGAGGACTGCAGCATGGCAGGTCTGCCGGACTTCAGGGGCCCCTGAAGTGTATAAAAGGAGAGCGTGCTCCGCACGCAGGGCAGACGCAGCGAGGGACTCAACAAGAACGGAGCTGAGAAAAGCTGGGGAGAGCTGTCCCCGCGGGCGATAGTCTTCGGCTTGTGAAGACGCCGCTGGAGGAGCCACCGCCGGAGCCTCAGCCCTGGGAGGAGGGTGAGCCTGCCAGGCCCCCACACGGTGCACAGCTCGGTGCACAGGGCCGACCCTGGGAGCTGCAGGAGGCAGCTTGGGTCCCGGGATATTCAGTGCACATAGTGCTGCATGGGGCCACCAGACCCTGGGAGCTGCACATGGTGGCTCGGGTCTGCTGCCCTCGGCGTGCAGCCGAGCACTCTGTGCCCGCGGTGGTGCACGGCATCCCAAACCCTAAGAGCAGCGCCATGCCACTTGTGTTTGCAACCCCCTCCCTGGTGTGAGGCCGGGCACCTGGGAGGCACCATCGGGGTGCACCAGAGGTCCAGCAGTCCAGGTCCGGGTTTTGGGACCTGCATGAGGTGGCCCAAGCCCTAACAGAAGGCAGAAGGCAAGGCCTGAGCGTCGGGACCCGCACGAGGTGGCCTGATGCTCACCGCCCCGTAGTGTTATGAGCACAACTTCCCTGGTCGATCAGGCCATGAAGTCTTGTCCAGGGCTCCTGGTTCCCGTGTCTGATGTCGAGACAGGATCTCGGGTCGGAGACAGGATCTCTTCGGGTTTCCTTCAGCAGTGTTGTGAAGGGTGCGCTCTCACCTCTCTTTATGTGCCATATAGCTTGCATTTCTTAATGCATACAATTACCTTAAGTCTTCCTCCTAATGTATATTAATACTCCTGCTTCTGTTTGCCAAATATGGTTACCTTTAACTGGGGTTTTCTATTCTGAGGTCATCTTTTCATCCTTAGGTGGGGGTAGGTTTTGCTCTGACTGTTCCTTTTTTGCCCAGGTAATTTAGTTAACCAACTTCCAGATTCATTTCAAATCAGGGACAGTATTTTTCCATCTTCTCCTTTCACTGGGTGCAGGTCTTGACCACAGTTCAAGCTAAGCATGCAGCTTGAGCTGAGCACAAGGGTCAAACCCCAGCCTGAAGGCCTTTGGGTCCCGGCAGGAGTTCAGCACTGGGCCTGACCAGGGGGAGGGAAGACAGAAAACCCGCAGCAATCTCTTTGAAGCATCCACTGGGCCCTTAGTGGAGAGTGCATGCAAAAGGCTGCCCGCTGCCTGAACCATAAGCAAGCACTAAATTTTACTCCTAAAATGGTCTCTAGGCAGCACTTCAAAAAACAAACTCCTGTAAATACAAGTTACACATAGGGCAAGGAGGTATTGAAAAGAGCAGCTTGTGTTTATCCCTTTTAAACCTTTAGGTTTTTGTTTGGTTGGTTTTTTTTTTGTGGGGGGTGGAGTTGAATGGCAAAAAGGGAGCTTGCGCAGCTAGATCCAAGTGGAAACTGTTGCATGCATTTGTGGGAGTGTGGCCTTGGGTGGTAGCTAGGAATGTTGTTAGTGCTCTCCTTTTTGGGAGAGCCATTTAAATGTGGCTTTTTTATGTTAATGATGTATAACAGCATGAAGCTCACTTCCTTCCCTGGCTCCATGTAGGATATGTCAAGGCAGAGGGAACAGAATTTGCAAGACTGCCCCAGGCACACTACCACTTAAGCTAAAGTCTCATTAGCAGAGTTGGTGAATAATTTGACAAATAAAAACCTTTTTTCATCTTTTTGATTCATTTGCAACTTGACTTTGGGCCTGATCATCAACGGATGTAAATTGGCATAGCCCCTCGAGCTGCTACGGCCGCTGTCATCTTCATGCTTTATTTCCTGGTTGCTTTTTTTTTGTTGCTACAGTTTATGGGTATCCATCCTAAACGCATGTCGGTCTTTAGCAGGCATGACAATGCTCTTTGCCCAAGTCATGCCATTTTGTTTGGTAGATTTTATTTTGTTCGTTTTATCTGCTGACCTGTTTTACTGCTCTAATCTGATCAGTAGCTGAAAGCACTATTCACCTGGAAACTTCTGGCCTCAAAAACCAACAGTTATTCTGGATTTGCGGGGAGCATAGCAGTCCTTGACTTGCTCGTGCGTTGGGATGCTGAGGGAATGATAGCAGGGGAATACTCCATCAGTATCCACTTTGTGCAGAGACCTTTTTGGTCACATCATTTCTCTAAGTGTTTAGGACAAGCTTTCTAAAGCATTTTTATAATGCGTACAGCCCATGGCAGATGTGACAGCTGTATTTTAAACTGCTGTGGAACAGGGTGGCAGATTTTTTGATGCTTGCATAGAAGGACAAGGTTCCTTTATTGAATCATTTTTTTTCTCAGGCGCTTGAATCCCATATGAAGGGATATTATAACTCCTGCTGGATTATATTATCAGATGGGACTTTATCTCCTATCAGGCAAGGAGAATTAGAGGATCTCCCTACAGCAGAGGGGCCTCAGGTTTGGGACTGAGAGGGATTGCAGGGAAAACCCAAGAAACACAAGCCCGGGGAGGATGTTTAGCATGAATGTGGGGTGCCGTGGTGGTTGGTTGAATTACCAGCAATACTAACCCCTCGGAAATAGGTAAGCATGCACTATATAAAGTGTGTGGATATGCTTATTAAAGCAGGAGGGCTATTCTTCCAGCTTATGCGATGTTCAACCAAAGTCAAGGGCCTAATATAAACCCATAAAAGCAAAGGCAGCTCAAAGTGAAAGCTAAAAAATTCAAACTGACATGTTGAGCTTTGCAGAGAACGGGGAAGGGGCAGCCTGGATATTTATCCTTTAAAAGGATATCACCAGGATTTAATACTGGGCTGCTCGCGTCATGAGAAACAATTGGAGAGGAACATGAATGGTTTAAGCCCTCACAAACTCATCTGCAGGTGCTTATTGGATAACACACTGCACCGGTTGTTTATTAAGGCCTGGACTAGATCAAACCTCACATATTCACTTTTTTGGAAAGATTAGTAAATTGTCTGTAGTACGAGTGATTTCCCCGGGGGCCATCATGGCTTTTTCTACTCCCCTCTCAATCTGGAGAGCGTGAGATCAGAGCGGGAATTGGACCCAGGTGTCTCACTGGGTGCCCTGACCACAAATCTAATCCAGGGGGTAAAAATTGAAAGGCAAGACAAGCTGACACTTGTGCTTAGATCTGACATGCCAGATTTTCGCCTGGAGCAAACTGGGGTTCACAGTGGAAATGCTGACGGGATCATAAGGATACTGTTGTGTCAAGCTGATTTACTGCCATATGGCATCTGCTGTGACACCTTGCTCAACTGCGGTACTACAAACGGCAAGGCTGTGAACAGCCCTGGACAGGAGGCTGTTCAGGGGGGAGCTCTGAATTGACAGTATAAATGATGCTACTGTTCCCCTCCTCCGTTCGGATGCGCATTGTTCTCTCTCAGCATCCTTGACTGATTTACGAACCGCTACGGCATTACTATTAATGATACTTCTTTAGGCAGCTGCTGAGCATAGTGGCAGTGTCTGCTCTCGAGGTTGCAAAGTGTTTAGGTTGCACAAGTGAACAGTTAGTCGTTTTGTTTTTTAAAGCTGCAGTGGGGGAAAAGCTTGTCTTTTGGAGGAATAAGCCTTATTTATACCCTGACAGCTGTCTGCTTTGAGGAGAGCTGCAAGGAAAGAGCTCCTTAAAGACTGAAGGATGAAAGCTAATAAAGGGACTGTCATTGTATTTTATGCAGAGTGTCACTTTGCCTGGACTCCAGAAAGGTAACATGAGTCAAATCCTTCTGTAAGAAATGGCACTACTCAGGTCATAGAAAAGGAGGGTTGGAAGGAGCCTCAGGAGGTCATCTAGTCCAACCCCCTGCTCAAAGCAGGACCAACCCCAACTAGATCATTGCAGCCAAGGCTTTGTCTAGCCAGATCTTTAAAACCTCCAAGGATGGAGAGTCCACAACCTCTCTAGGTAACCTGTTCCAGTGTTTTACTACCCTCCTAGTGAGAAATTTCTTCCTGATATCTAACCTAAACTTCCCTTGCTGCTACTTGAGACCATTGCTCTTTGCTCTGTCATCCGCCACCGCTGAGAACAGTCCAGCTCCATCCTCTTTGCAACCAGCCTTCAGGCAGTTGGAGGCTGCTGTTAAATCCCCTCTTAGTCTTCTCTTCTCCAGAAGAAATAAGCCCAGTTTCCTCAGCCTCTCCTCATATGTCATGTGCCCCATCCCCTGAACCAGTTTTGTTGCTCTCCGCTGGTCTCTTTCCAGGTTCTCCGCATCCTTTCTGTAGTGGGGGGCTCAAAACTGAACACAGGACTCCAGATGTGGCTCAACTGCAGTACTACAAACTTCACCACTGCTCTTCTTTTACTGCCCACAGAGCTGTATCATCCAGCCTCTGATGCTGCCTGTGGGTCATGGAGTAACCAACAGGCAGTATGGAGAGCATGTTATATGGTGGGCCAGTAAGGGGTGCCTATGCTGAGCCGCACACCTCACTGTGCTCGACCAAAAACCACACTTTGAGTGTCTCTCCTGGGGCACCTATGTCTGGCCACCCGCCTATCTGGAGCAAGTCTGGGGTAACCGCCGCCACCACCCGGGCCTGGGTCTTTTTTAGGGCTCTGCGCATCCTGGGGTACACAGACCCTGCAGACTTTGGGGGTGCTTTTCCCCCCGACAGGATGTATCTGAATGCTTCTTATAGCCTGCAGCATTAAGAGCAGCCTCCCTTATGTAGCTGAGCAAAGGGAGCTATAAGGTTAATCTCACCCTTTCCAGCACCCACAGCGAGGCATGCTATAACAGATAGCTTTATTGATCAAAGAGGGAGAGCATGGGGAAGGAATACAAAACAAAAGGAATATCGAAAGGAAACTGCTTTGAGCAAATCGGTATAGGCTCGTTTGGCCCTTCTGAAATGCAGGTCCTAAATTGGTGGCTAAATATCAGGTAAGTTACTCACATATTCATCCCGAGATTTCTGGAGTCCTATGCTTCTGCACATGTGTGTTTCCAAGAAGATGTCTCTGCTCCCAAGATGGAGTGACCCTTTAAATAACCTTTCTGATCTCATCACCTGAACCCCACCAAAACCAGGTATTTTCTGAGCACCACTGATGCTGACCAGTCAGTTTGAAAAAAACGTGTGAGCCCTCACCTTGAGGAGTGAGCAATGCCTTAGGACCGCCCCTCCAGGTCAGTGGCAGGAAGGTTACACAAAGGACCTGGACCCATGAAGAGGGGACCCCCCCCCACCGCCTTAGGGGATCACCTAGGCAGCCAGGTGGTTGACAGACTCATGCGCAGAGAGAGAAAGAGAAGAGAAAAACAAACCACCCGAAGAGGGGGCTGGGATGGAGTTTTTTCCCATGTTACATGGCCCCAGAGCTGCCACTGTCAGCAGCCTAGCCGCAGAGAGGATGCCCGCTGCTCCAGGGCTGGGCTGCACATGGCAGCCGCTCTGGGCCCAGGCTGCACAGCTCTGCGGTGGTGGCAGCCCCAGCTCCAGGACTGCTGCTCAACCCCGCAGTGGCTCTGGCTTTCGGGCTGTGCAGAGCAGCCCTGCAGCAGCTCTAGGGCCGTGCTGCACCACCCCGGAGTGGCTGGGGCAGGGACTGTGCCAGCTGCAGTGCCCCCCCCAGATCCTGTCTGGCCTGTGGACTGACCCCATTGCACTCATCTGGCCCCTGAGGCTGGATGAGTTTGACACCTCTGTTTTACTGGAAAGGAAATATTTGCTTTACTTTTCAAATGACCCTTCATGTCTTTCCCCTGCAACTCTGGATTTCCTGTTAAGAGAAGTGGCCTAGTCTGAGTTAAGAAATTCTCTCTTTTATGAGTCTTTATTAAAATCCAAAATATGCATGATTTTTCTAGTTGTGCACAGCTTACTCAACATATGAATGTGCAGGGCGGAGTGGAAATAGAAAATATTAACAAAATTATATATGCTGGGATTTTAGCAGCTTCTGATTACAGTCAGCATGGTGCGTCAGGAGTCCTGAATTTTCCTGCTGCCCACCAGTTTCAGTAGAGTTGACATTCACAAAATCTGTTCAGATCTGTGGAGTGGATGGGACCCCCCAGGTAATTCAAGGAGATAAAGGAACATGGGTCGGGAGAGGAGATGAAAGGAAAAGGTGAGGGAAGCAGAGGGGGCAGGAAAGAGAGAGGTTCTCCCTTTGGGTCTTATTTATACACAACCTTCTGGTCTAGATGCAGTTACACAGGGGAATTGGACTCCGTACTGAATATGATGGTATTGCATGTTTTTTTCATTGCTCTGTTTGGCATTTTTTCCTAGCTTGGATGATACCCACCATAAATACCAGTGGCACCATATCAGTAATCAGTGCTGACATGTGTCCTCTTTCCTCTTGACAGATCAAATAACAAAAGGAGATCTTGAAAAAGTGCTGCAGAAGTTCACAGGGGACATAATGCAAGTTCCTCCACTGTAAGTCCGGTATTGCTTAGATCTGGGCATGACTAGTAGTGATGCTGCCTTTTGGGAAGCTTTTCAGCAGAAGTCTCTTTTGCCAAGAAGCTGTTTTGACAAGAGGATATCGGCAAGGCAGGCTTCGGATGTTGTTAACCTGCCAGGCTCACTGCCGAGGGTTGCATCTGATTTAAACATAGGACACAAATTGTCCCTTGAACTGTGCTTTGTGGTGGCTAAATTTTAATATAGAGCATCGTGTGAAGATGTTTTTACAGGGTTTTGTTGGGAGGAAAATATTTTGAGGCCTCCATTTAGTTCTATAAAGTAAAGGGCTTTTTAGGTTTCATGTAGAAATATCTGAGATCATTTTAAAATTTACATGCCTGAAAACCCAATTCTGTTTCCTACAAGCAAATGATCTATCTATCTATCTATCTATCTATCAAGTGCCCACTATCAATGAAATTACATTCATTGCACTAGTGACAGATGGCCTTATTCAAAGCCACCAACATCAGGCTTTGAATAATGGGTAAATACCCATTAAGGTGTGTGTGCGTGTGTGTATGTGTACATACACACACACACACACACACCCCCTTACCCATTATTCAAAACCTGATGTTGGTGGCTTTGAATAAGGCCATCTGTCACTAGTGCAATGAATGGAATTTCATTGATAGCAGGCCCTTGAACAAGGCTATGTAGTTGGCAGTTGCTACCCCAAGATACCCGAGACCAACACTGGAAGGTTATTTCAGGTCAAATTGTGAAGCGGGGCTGCATGAGGGAACTTGCCTGTACAACACCAGCTGCAATGGCCATTGATGAGTCCAGCATAATACTCTGTGCCATAGAGCTGAGTGGGACAACTTGTGTGAAGCAGAAGACCTGCACAAATGACACCTTTTTACTGGTGTAACTGGCCCAGCTTTTGTACGTTGAGGTAAATGACAGCAGGCTCATGAGCATATCCGGATATAACTGCATGCATTAAGTACTATTATGGCACTTGGAAAATGAACAGCCTCCAGGATCATTTGGGGACAGGCAGTGTCTAAACCAGTATAAGTAGGCTTGGCAGAATTTGGTTTCAGTTTTTAATAATTTTGCCAGATAATATCAATGCTTATTTTTAAGCATTTCTTTCAGTTTCTATTGATTTTAACTTTTCAGGATTGTGAGAAATTAAGGGGCTTGGGGGGCAGACAATTTATTAATGGCGGTATACTCTTGCAATAGTGCAGTTGAACTGCCCGCCATGACAAATGGAAGTACTGTAGGACCGCCGCCAGGTGAGCGGCAGAGCTGCCATCAGTCTTGGCTCCGCTCGCCTGTAGCTGTCTCGTCTACCTTGTCACTTCTTCCCTTGTTCGCAGTCCCTTGGGGCTCCTGGGGGTCGCAGTCCGAAGCAGTCAGCACAGGTCTGTAGGACTGCCCCCCCTGTTGTCACACGCTCCGTCAGCTATTATTTTTCTTGTGTCCCCTTTCTATAGATTTTGATTATTAAAGATGGAAATATTCTTTTGTTGGTGTGTGAGTGCGAGGTAAAATCGATGTTTATCAGCGTTTACAGATAAAAATTGACCCCTGCCAAGCCTAAATATAGCTGACGCCTCTGTAGTTTTCCATTTGATTTTTTTCTTAATCTGTGGTAATTCTCTGCCGGATTCAAGTCAATTAAACCTCTGCAGGATTACCTGGTAAATGGGTAAGTAAGTTAGACCTCTGTAGGATTACCCTGCCTTCTGTCCCCTCCTGATTTCTTGGTGAAAAGGCTGATTTCACCCGTGTAAACATGCCACGTGTCCAGGCTCCGAGTGAAAGGCGCTCTTTTCATTGTAAGTGGTAAATTCAGCTCTGAAGCCTTTTCAAACGCAAGTGTCAAATGATTGATTCTCTTGTGTTTAGTTTGCAGTTAACTAGTTGCAACATAAACAGACCCCTGTGTCTAAAAGGTTTTAGCAGCACTCGTTTCTTCCTTTTTTTATAACCACTTGAAGAAGATTAGAAGGGTAAAAATGCATCCTAGTGGAGTGCAACATCAATAGTGTCAAAAGCCTGGAGAGCTTGCGTTCTGCGTGACACGCTTTTGTATGCTCTATGTAATCAGCTGGTCTGCTTTGAAGAAAGATGGACAAAGGCTATCGTTTCTCATGAAGAAAGGAGTAGCAGTGGAAGCAAAGCCCGCTCGGCCGGTTAGAGTTTACAACCTTTCTCTCCAGAACTTCCAGCCGCCGCTGTTCACGCTGGGTAAGAGCCAAAGATTTGACACGGGCTGATGCCCTCGGCCCGTTGCTAAGGATTGCCTACACGTAGCCTGGGACCGAGATAATGGGACGGGTTGCCATTCCCACCCTCGGTGGTTTTGATGCGGGGCTGTGTGTGGACATTCCCGTTCTGCGGCAAGCACGCTCCCTTTGGGTTGAGCCGAGGCTGGTTAGACGTAGATATGATTCCACGTGCAGCCCTCGGACTCGCTCCCTCCTTCGCAGGCCTCCCTGCTCGCCTCTCCTCTCTCTTGCCCCGATCCCGAGAGCTGCTGCCAGCTCTGTGGTGTCTTGAAACAGGGAGGGACACTGACACCGTAGGGGAGAAGGGGTTAGCCACCACCTGGAGAAATGGAGACGGGTAGCATGTCTAGAAGCACAGCTTCTAGAGAGAGGCCCTTGTCACTCTCAACCTGTTTGGTGCTGAAGGTGAGGGCAGGAAAGACTTCCCCCTTGGGAACTGCCTAAGTGTTCCTTTGGAAGTCCTTTGATGTACTGTATGTTGTATGGGAAGTAGGTAGGAGCACTATATTTCACTACCGTGTGTTATTTAAGTGGTTATTTTATGGTTGGGTGATTAGCAGCTGATCACAGGGGACTGGGAAGGGGGGGTAAGCTAAAGGTGGATTTTAAAATGTCACAGTCCTTGTCGGAGCTGCCGGCGTTTTGCGCTTTGCGTGGCGTCGGTGCTAGGGGGTGGGGAGGCAGCTCGGGGTAACACTTTCAAATCGCTGTTTTTCGTCATTAGAAATTGGGAAACTTACGACCTTTCAAAACCTTTCAAGTGAACAAGGCTGAAGCACTTATTAAAATGCCATTGCCAATAGTTAATTTATAATGCATTTGCTGAGTCGCTGCTATGTTTGCCTTCTCCCCTCTCTGGCTTTGCAATCTCACCCGCACATATGTTACAGGATGAATAATTTATATCGTATTCCATAAATATTTTATCACCGGATTGTTTGCTTAGTGCATTTTTACATTTGTTTGGGAGCACTGTTTCTATGTAAAATAGATTTCATACTGGGCTGACAATTTACCATGTCACTGTTAACATTGCAGATGTTGAATGTGGCGGTGGCTTTTATGTCAGAAGCTTGGTCAGTGACATTGGCAAAGGTAGGCAAAGAAAAAAGCATGACAGTTTAAGGAATGAATGTCTCTGGTAATACAAGAATATTCTCATTTTCCATATCTCTGGTCACCAGACCTGTGTGTTGGGTTAAAATGCTGAATTCTCATCATTCATTTTATGTACTGGAATATTTGCCAGGAAAGGGTAAGCAGAGGAGGGCAAATATTTGCCAAGTGATTCCTGGTGGAGACTAAAAATTGAGGTCAGTAACAACATTGGTCAAGCAATGTTGGGGTAGGGGAGAGGGAGGAGAGGGAAATCATATGGAAAATCTTACATTACGGGTGAGCAGAGGAAGAAGGATAAGTTGTTTCTTTTAAATTCAGAAAGCCTTACCCTGACTATATTAAAACCCTGCTTGCTGGAGACCTTTTCCCATTCATGATTATTTTGCTGCCTTTCATCTTTCGTGAGCTATGTTGCTTTCTTATTGGGTTATTTGTCTGGTTGCCCTACATCAGAGGAGTGGCGTGATGGAGCATTGGATAAACCATTTAAATGCTTTTCAAGGCTAAATTTGCCGTATGGAAAGCTGAATGGGAAGAGAGAACAGCAAGAATTTCAATACCATATTTTATTCCTTGGCAAGTCAAGGCTTCCCTTTTCTTGTTATTGTCTGTGTGGCATTCTAGCTTGTGTTTAAACCTCTGAAAGACAAATTAAAAGCCAAGATCCCTGCCCCAAATTTGTTCCTTTTCAAGATTTAAAGTGCAATAGAAATCCTCCCATGGCTGAGGGAATGCAGGTGTATTTTAAACTCTATAGTTCATCCTACATCTAGTGGCCCGTTTTGTGTGCGTGTTGTAGTCTTCTGACCCTGCTTACTGATTCATTTTATCTTAATGATAATGAATTATTCTCCCAATGTATATTAGATTTCCCCCCTTCTTTTGGCTTATACTGCCCTAATAATTATCTTGGGGGGATTTTTTCCCAAAATGCCCATCTCTTTTTTCAGAAGGTACTAAAGCACTGACGCTCTGGAGGGCTTGTCTCCTGCAGTGGCAGTGGCATCTGATGAGAATAGGGCCAAGTGGACCTGCATCCACAAGCATGCTCCCAACCTAGTAGTACCCCCTGATGCTGCTCTGGGCTTATCCCTCTGAGCTTGCTCTTGAGTCTTCTGTCTCCGGCACACGTGAGAGCAGCTTCACGTCTCACCTTTTTGGAAAACATCGCAGGTGGGTGGGAACGTTGCTTGGACCCGTCTTTGGGCCCCGCTGCTGCCGAAACCAGCTTCTGAAGCCAGCAGCAGCATAGCTGCATGCACACAATGCCAGGCATTGGGCAGTTATCCCTGTCACTTGGTGGTAGTCAACCCTCCTCCAGCTGACAGAGCTACACTGCACTGGGGTACGAGGCAAGCTTGCCAGCAGCGAGATAGCCTGCCTGAAGGTGCCACTTCTGGTATGGGTAAGTTTGGTACATAGACACAGAGTTTCATTCCTAAGACGTAAGAGTTTCTTTCCTGTCCGAGCCCCCAAGATCTGGACTAAGAGTTTCTTTACTGTCCGAGCCCCCAAGATCTGGAACAGCCTGCCACCGGAGGTGGTTCAAGCGCCTACATTGAACACCTTCAAGAGCAAACTGGATGCTCATCTTGCTGGGATCCTGTGACCCCAGCTGACTTCCTGCCCTTTGGGCAGGGGGCTGGACTCGATGATCTGCCGAGGTCCCTTCCAGCCCTAATGTCTGTGAAATCTATGACCTAACGTTGCTTTTCTGCATGGGGCTCAGGCTCCAAAGTCATTGAGGCATTGTTGAAAATTTTACCCTGAGGGAACGAAGAGTGCATATTAGACGCTGTTCTTCATCCTGCACCCAGTGGCCCACTGCTGTTTTAATTTTTCACTTCGCCTGTTCGTTAGAATTTGGAAAATCTCCCGCCAGCCTTTGATCTGATTCTGTTTGGCTGGAGTAAGCCTGTTGAAATCAAAGAGTGCTTGACATTCCTGTTGATATAAGTGAGCTGCGAATCTGAATCAGACCCTTTTTCTCCAACTAAGAATATGTGGAAACACTATCTATAAATATTTGACGTGGGATTTTTTTAATGAATTCTGTGATTTATAATTTGGGCTGTTCACTTTTTTTCCCCTGGTTGTTCCCCCCCCCCCCCTTTCCCGTGTAGAACTCTCTTCCTGTGCCAGTGTGCGAGAGCTGACCCGAACCAAGCATGGGCCATTTACCCTAGAGGAGCACACGCTTCATGAAGACAAATGGACAATTGATGAAATTGCACGGTCCCTAGAGCATTGCATGTCTCTTCTCCCAGAAGAACCGTCACATAAAAAATTAAAGACCGAGCATTCGGAAGAATCTGCTGTGAGCTGTGAAGATAAGTGATAAGTCAGGTCAAGGAAAAAGACTGAATGATTGAGACATTTTGAGATTGGACCGGGATAGTCTTGCCTTCCTGAGTAAATTTACAAGCCTATACATGGAGGGTGATATACTGCAGTGCAAGGAGAATGACCCCTTTCTCTCATATGCACAAAATATCTAGTGCTTATTGCTTCCTTGCTTCTCTTCTGTTTTATACACTGAAAAAAGGTCTCTTGCTAAAAACTAGCTCTTCGCTGTATGCTGGAAAGATGCTGAAGGGAGTGTATCTTTTTATTACTACGTTGATACCAAAAAAAGTGTTTTATATTTTATTAAATTTGGTAAATTTTGAGGGAGAGAAACAATTCATTTTTTGTGTAGCTGTTAGTCAAACTCAAATCCTGAAATATCACTGTAATGAAAGCCTGTGCCAGTTTGACAGATGCAAAAATGTGGAGTGACATTGTATTTCTTTTCTTTTCTTTTCTTAAAGAGATTCCTTGAACTGGAAATGATTTCACTGTAGCCCTGAAATGGTTTCACTTGTAGTCCTTATTATTTGGTGTGGTCTTTCAGTGGAACATTACCCAGAATAAGTCAAGCACAAACTGGGCTTTTAAACATACCATTCAGTTAACTGCTCAAAAATAGAAGCAATCTCTAATGATAAGTGGTATTCCTTACTAATGTTAAATGGCTTGGAGCAGTGGGCACACAGTCAATGCACCAGCATATAGCTATTTCTTATTTTCCAAGGGGCAACTTTACCCCAGAGTGGCATGACTTACCCTGGTAGGCTGGCACATCATGTGACTGCTTCTCTAGCACACCAGCGTAATTGTGCCATGTGTAGTAAGGAAGTGAGAGCTGGGGGAAACTCCCACTTCTGTTTGCCTGAAGGAATAATGACCAAAAAGAATATCGCTAAAAATGGTGGCTGCCCACTGTTCAAGGCCAAATGGAAACATAATTGGACCTACCATATAACAGGCCATAGACTTTTGCATGGTAGTTCCTGCAGTGGGGAAAATTGTTCTCCTCACCATGTCTGTCAACGCTCTTGGGCCCTGGAAGTTGGGGCTGCCCCATATCTGTTGTGTAGAGACACTGCACTTTGAATTTAAAGCCCCCCAGATGCTGGTAATGGAACCTGCCATTTCCGCAGGTAAACGGTCCTAGCTGTTAATTGAAGAAACCCATCCAGGATTTTACAAAGAGTAGGGGTACAGCGAGTGGAGCTGCAGGTGTGGCTGCACCCCCCTCTCTCCCTCTGCCTCCTCCCTGCTCTTGCACCGTGGGAGCAGCAGCTGAGGACTTAAGTCCCAAGGAAAGTAAGAATTCCCCCTCTCCTTTCCCCTCCATGCTTGGAGGCATGTCTGCTCCCCTCCTTTCCCCTCCCCTTCCTCTACCCCACCTGCTGCTGCCAGCATCCGCACTGTCCCGGGGCAAGGGGAGTTCCTGCCCCATTCCAGCTGGGCTATGCTTATTCAGGACGATGGCAGCTGTGGCTGCTGTTCCTGCTCCTGCTCCCAGGTCGGTGGAGAACGCCTGGGGGGAGCAGGCAAGGAAGGGGAATGCACCCATCTGCTGCTGCCCCAAGCTGAGCCCAGCACTCACACAGCTCAGCTTCTGCTTCTCTCGCTCCGGGGACAGCGGCAGCAGCAGGCAGTGGAGCAGATGGAGATGGAAAGGTATATGTCTTTAAGCATGGAAGAGAAGGGGGTGGGGGTAATTCTTACCTTCTTTGGGACTCAAGTCCCTGGCTGCTGCTCTTGCAGCATGGTCAGAAAGTGAGGTGCAGCTGTGCCACTACACCCCTTCTGGCTCTGCCCTAGGTTAGTGGTTTTCAGCACTGAAAAAGATGTTTCATGTTCCTAATTTGAAAAACACTGAATCTACTTATACCGTTGTCCCTTAAACTACAGCAGCCAATAGCAAAGGTCTTCTCCTTTTTATGGTACTTGTAGAACGTAACCGAGTTGCCTCTGAATTTTCAGTCTTCTAAGTGAAATCAGAATAATAAAGATTAAGTTTCTCACTGTAGATGGTGGAGATTTCTGCTTATTTTTGCAGTTCTTACTGACAGAATAAGAGATTTTAAAATCCAGATAAGGTTCCTGAAGTATAAGATTTCTTGAGGTTTTTATCATTCCTCAGGTAGTAAAGGGCTTAGTGTTTTCCTTTTAGTGTCTGCATATCTATTCTGGGTCTAGGTGAAGTTGACATATTAAGACATAAAATTAGGGAAAAGTGTGGTCAGCTTCAAAAGAAAGTTAACACTTTGGAGGCTGTTTATTTAATGGTCTAGGAGAGGCAAGGTAGTTAAGATATTTCTCTTTGTCTCCTAAGAAAACCAAATGAGGCAGCCAACAATCACTTTTCAGTGTGCATTTCTTGAGTGATCAAAGACTTGCTGTTTCTTTTACTCTCTCTCCAAATCTAGCTCTTGCAAGAACCTCATTAACGTTATCCCAGTGGTCTTTTAACATTGAATGGTAAGCTTTCATTTTGTTCATATATCCTGTGGATATCTTCCTTTTTTTTAATAGCTCTTTGAATATAGGTCTGCTGCTCTAGTTGTTATAGTGAGTTGCTTCTTAGAAAAAGGGCTGGAATTGAAAATCTCCTGTTCTGTTAATAGGGTTTCTTTGTATGTAGCGCTAAAAGTGCCTGGTGCATTCTTCCCACCTGTCTGCTTGGTATTTACAGCACTTTTCTTAATCTTCTTTTTTTCCTTCAGCTGTCTAAATGTTCTTAATTTCAGTAGTTTGCCCTATATTTTTCTTCTGCTGCTTTTAAGTTAGTGTGATACCGTCTAGTCTGCTGTAGATATTAGCAATGTTCCTGTCGTCTTGGTAACAAAGATCTTACCAAAGCCTGTTTAAATTAATGGGAAGAGGCCGATTGACTTCAGTGGGTCTTAGACCAGGCTTGAAGTGCTAAGTAAAATGTATATGGAAACATAGAGGAAAAGAATATAAGCGGGCATTTTTCTGCGTCCTCTTCAAGTTTGTGCGTAGATGTTACTAGGGTCTCTCACTGTCCGTTTAATGAATATGCCAGCTTTCTCATCTTTGGGGTCCTTGAAAGAACGACCCACACGACTTGAGAGATTCTCTCTCTTCTAGGGCCTTCGCTTCCCGTGTTTATGTCCGACTGTCATCAAATGTCAAACAAGAGGGAGGAGCTTCTCGGGGCGTCAGGACTTTCACGGGCATCATGGTTTCTTCCTGCAAGAGGAAAGAACAGGACTGGACTTTGTCACAGGAAGCTCTTTGTCCTTCCTCCCCGCTCCCGACTGTTTCAAGCTAGGAAGGCATGGAGAGGAGGGGAACCATTTCAAAATACCTGGATGGTACTTAAGATACCAGAAAATATGGTCTCTACAGTAGAGAGTTGTTACCAACAGTTCATGGTGTAGACACTGTGACACAGTGATTAATCAATGGTGAAACGATGAATGAGTTAATCCAGGGCTTTCTGAACACCTGTCCATGCAGCCCCTGCCCCATGGCAGCAAAGGAGGAACCCGCGCTGACCCTAACAGTTGTACTATTTGCCCTTTCTCCTTTTTGGCGTTTTCTACTTGCATGCCTTAGTGCGGCGTCTTCACTGGTTCTTCCGTGGGTCGTTTCATGATGTTTTTATTCCCAGGTCGGCTCTCCCTTGAGTCGTCCCCACTCCTATGCTCCACCCCAGTTGCCAAAGTCTGAGCTGATATGTCCCAGCAGGCCTGGTCCCAAGTTGCAGGCTCCTTTCGCGTGCCCCTGGGACTCTTCATTCCTCGTGCTTAGGGAGGGAGTGGGTCCTGCCGAGCCTCAGCTCCCTGGAAGGGTCAGCTGGCTCTGGGATGTCCCTTGTCATGCAGACTAGCTGCTCCAGGAATGTCTTCAGGTTTTCATGAAAGATTTTGGGAGTGCACCTCTGCCTGCACTACTAAAGTGGTGCTGGGTAGTCCCTCTGGACAGGGGGACAGAGGAAACCTGAAACATTTTCAGAGAGTTAATCCTATGAACTTTGGGCCAGATCCTATTTCACCTCGCTGGAGTCCCTGAAAAACTGCCAATGCAAAAGATTAGTGGGTGGGTGGCTCCTTTTACGTCCTTTTTGTGACTTCCTTAAGGCTAAGACAGTAGTGCATTGTGAAAGTAGATGAACTAATGTTTTTTTCAGAGACTGGAAAAGGTTAGATTGGACTTAGGTGTCTAATAGTGGTAATAGGATAAGTTTGGTATCTTGGCACTTTCCTGGGTCTGAAGAGACTGCTGGGTCCCCATGGGAGCTCCTCTGTCTGGTATAGCACATATAGATGTATTTATTTATTTATTTTTTTAACCCAAGAGCCCTTGGAATCACAAGCTTTAAAGTCAAGTCTTTACGGACAGAAAAAGTGACACTCTCCCAGGACTGATTGGCACTGTGTCCTGGGTGATGTGTAGAGGTAATATAGGGAAAAGTATGTTTTGTGAAGGTCGGCGTAAGAAGAACTGAGCAGCCAAGTGAGAGGGACTCACGGTCAAAGAGAAATCAAAGCAGTTAGTTATGTTAAATGTGTGGCTCTGCAGGTTACCACGAACCACACACGTTACCTAGGCAATACCTAATTTCTGTGGGCATCCTTCCAGGGAAAAGACTTAATGGGAGAATATGCCTCACCTTTCAGGCTGAATACTGGTGATCAGACCTTGGTCTCATCCCCTCTGGCTCATAGCGTTGCTCTAGCATTATCACTCTGTCTCCATTGGACACTCACGTTTGCTGCAGCTGCTTCGATGGGGTTGGCAAGGGCTTCGTCATTTCTCCCTCTCCTCTTCCCACTTCTGCACAGCTGGATCCTTTTCTTCCTCGCATAACTGGTTATCTTTTCATTGTGAGGCTCTCCTCATGGGCTCATTTTCTCGTCTACAGTGATTCTCTACTTTTTCTTTCATGTTTGATTATTTCTGTTGTCACAGTGCTGCTGGTTTTGTACTTTTAAAACAAAATCAGCAGGATCCTTTTTATCCTCATCAGGCATGGGGCTCCAACAAAATATTCCTTAACTTGCCTTCATCAGGAGCTCTGTTTTGCGCCTTATCCTTTAGTTCTGTTCTCGTCACCTTCTATTTCTCTTATTTATATCAGAGGAAAGTGAGAGCGTGCTAAATAATTTGCATTACTAAATCAAAATTTTGGGATCGTTTGAGAATTTAAAAATGCTTAACAGCTGGAGTGCTTAACTCATCAGATTGTGTCCTTCTAGCATTCTCATAACTCCATTTTTTACATTTACTAGGTATAGCAGGGTGCTGTTTCAGGGCTTTTCAGCCTGGCTTTGTCCCTCCCCTAAATGTGTCTCAGCCAGCCTTAGTACTATGCAGGCTTTCACCCTGCTGGCCTTTGCTGCCTGGAGCAGCTCAGCCTGCCCCAGTCCTATACCGCCCTTCAGCAAACAGAGTAAGGAAACAAAGGACCCTGAGATGAGTCTGCTGTGGCTTCAGGCTTCCTTTCCCAGGCTTGTCCTCCTCCTAGCACAGACGTTTCCTACCTCTGGTGCTTCTCCTTGACTCCCATTTCCCCTCCCCACCACCTCCTGTCTACCGGGCTTTTTGATTCCCAGTGCCATACCTTCCTTAGCCTTCCCACAGCTGCAGCCCTTCACTTTCCCTAGCTGCCTTTTCTTAAGAGGACAGGCCACTCTGTTGCACTTGGTCAGGGTTAGAAATTAGCAGGAGCACCCGTTTTATTGAAACATGCTTGAGAAAGAGATAGGTGTATAGAGACACACACATACACCCACCGCCACCTGCCTATCCCTAGTGTAAACCAGCCAGAGGGAGATCACGTGAGACAAGTGTGTGAATTCAGCCAGGCTGGGCAGCATACTGTCCCCATTAAGAAGCAGTCATTGCATCTAATTACCATAGGCTTAAATTGGTTCTTCGTGAAACCTGATTAAGCAGACTGCCAGGAGTTAAGTGCATCCCCAAATAAGCCTCAAGCACTGGCTCACTGGAATACTAGCATCTCCGCTACGAGAGGAGAGAAAACATTGCTCTGCGTCTTGCTTTCTCCAAGATCAGCTGCTGCAATCTCAGAAAGTGGCAAAGCAGCAAAATGGGAACTGGGGCAACCTTATTTCAGCATTTCAAGACTGACCCGAAAGGGCTCAGCCAAGCAGCCCTCCTTAGAGAAAGTAATCAGAAAAGGAACGGATATTTTATTTCTTCGGTTCTTAGGGGGACAGCTAGAGGAACTGCTTTCTCCTCATCCCCCAAAAAACAGCATGGCAGGAGCATGAGATTCAAAACCACCCTAAGATTTTTGCTGCGTCTAAAATGGGGCTTTGCGATGCCCTCGTTTCTCCTCACTGCTAGTTCAAAGTTGTAGAAAACCTGTCCCCCAGATCTCGTCAGAGGGAGCGGAGACCCCTGCCCTTTCTACACTATCCCATCGCCTTATGAGATGGAGCGTGAAGGGCAGTGCAAACAGTTTCCTACTTGGCCTCTGTTCAATAACCAGCTCTTATGTGGCCTTTTACTCCGGAAGTGAGAGGGAGTAGAAAAAGAAATGAAGGAATTATATTGGTAATATATATACCAAAATGGCTTTAAACAGCCTACAGCAGGGGTTTTCAACCTTTGTGGGTCATTGTACCCTCGGCGGCCGGTTGAGAAGGTCTTTGTACCCCCGGCGGCCAGATGAGCGTGGGGGGGTCCCCAGCAGCCAGTTGGCGAGCATGGCAGTGGAAGTGCCAGTGGCGCCCGCTGCCGAGTACCCCCTGAGGCCATCGCAAGTACCCCTGGTTGAAACCCCTGTCTTACAGTATTCACTCCTCACCAAAACAATTAATGTAAGCTGAAGCTCTGTCCCCCAGCGAATATAACTGTTTCCATGGGAGGTTTGAGTCTGTAAATCTGCTGCTGTTTTGAATCCTCTCCAAGCAACCACAGCCCTTGACACCATGAAGAGCAAAAAGCAGGCTAAGATTGAAAAGAAAGGTAGGGAACTGGGGACAAAAGCGGAAGAGAGCTGGAAACAATGAGAGACGCTGCGATCTCCCTCAGCTTGCCCCTTTTAGATGAAAAGGAAAGAGACGTATTCTCTTTTGCTCTTTTTTCCAGGTGGGGATGACCTTAGGTATTACTCTCAGTACCAGGCTCCATGAAGGCCAGATTTGCAAACAGTGCACACGTCTTAATTAAAGTACCAAAAGTATCACTTAATAGGGAGACTTAAAACTCTCTTTAGTTTGAATGAAGTGTGCACATGCTGTGGTGAACGCTGCATGTATTATTTTCTTACATGATTATCCAAAGTGAGGAGTTATTTTATTTTAAAATATATATATTAAATCTTACAAAGAGAAAAATGGGGAAGAAAAGGCTTTTGCCTTAGCTGTGAGTTGTCATCCTTTTTTTTTTTTCTTTGACAGGAGATAAAATAAAACAATTAGCTTAAATATATCATCTCAAAATTTAAGGTGCTTTTATGGAGAAATGCATTCTAAAAATGTCTGAAGTTAGGAGGGCCATTTGTTTCCATTACAGCTTTCTAAAAAGACACAATCATATGATGCTTTGCAAGGTGCGCTAATGTTTCACTGTTTCTTTTTTTTATTATTGACTTGCAATAAGCACTTTATATTTCTGTTTGTATGTATCTGAAGAGAAATAGTGTTGTCTATCATTAGAGGTTTTATTGCTTTATGTAATTGATAGGGTACTTTCTGTATCTAGAATATAGATCCACAAAATCTAAATTGCCTGTAATTTGAACAATGGATAAATACTATGTATATATGGGGCAGAGGGGGAGAGAGAGAAGCAAATGTACAAAATGTTTCCACTTTGTACAAAGCAACTTAAGCATATTTTTTTCTTAATTTTTTTTTTAACTCTAGCTTAACTATGGCTTTAACGTTACTTTGAATTCAGCAAGGCTCATAAGTACATGATTGATTTACAGTGTGTGAATACTCCTATTGACGTCAGTGGAACTGCTTTAGCGCTCGGAGGTAAGCGCATGCTTACTTCAGAAGAAGCTTGCTGAAATTTAATTACTTTGTCCTATCATGTATGTTTGTGGTTTCTTTCTTTCTTTTTTTCTTTTTCTTTCCTTTTTTTTTTTTAAGATGCGAGTAACAAACTTGCTGGACTGAAATAATACATTTCTGTTGTACAAAAAATAAAACAGGCATCTGACAAGATAAGTGATAATTTTTCCCCTCTAGCCACTGGAAATGTAATGGCTTTTGCTGTAAAATAAAAAAGGAAAAAGAAAGCCCTGTCATAGTGAGCTGAATTAATGCTGTTGTGTATATTTATTTATTTAGCAAAAGTATTGATTTCCTCCGAGGAAGGCTGTGCAAAATGGAGAAACACGCTTGCTTGTTTGACTACTTGGGTGATGTGCCTCTGGAGTTAGGAATGTGTAGCTCTTTTATTGACCAATATACAGTCTCTATAAATAAACTCGCCCAGCCTTTCCCCATGGGTTTGTGGATTGGCTGTTGCTGCTGTGAGGTCTTGAGGTTGCTGCCTCCAATTTTCTGTACCCAGTAG